TCTTAGACAATAATCGTCCTAATAACACAGCTCGATGAGATGAATCCGAGGAGCCGATCGTAGTGTAGTGAAGATGTTGCAATTGTTTTAAGTCTTCGGGAGCGCAGACCTATTAAGTCATCATTATCTCTATAGCATGATGCTAGATATAGACCAAGCGAGAGAGAGAGAGAGAGAGAGCAAAAAAAAGAAGAAAATGGGGAGATCTTGTAAATTGTCGAGGCAGTTTGAACAGCTCGCCCCCCCCCCCCAAAAAAAAAAAAAAAAAAAAAAATATTATATATATATATATATATATATATATATATATATATATATATATATATTCATTCCTTCTTTTTTTATTTCTTATATTCTCTCCATTTCTCCTTTAATTAAGCGACATATCAACCTAATGGAAATGAGCCCTCTACCCCCCCCCTTCCTTACCCTCGCCACCCTCCCTCCCCCTCCCCCTTCGCCTACCACCTCGTCCACCCCCACCCCTCCACCTAACCCCTCTTACCCCACCCCACCCCAACCCACCCCCACGACTCCTCCTCAGTATATGCAAGGGCGCGCGGTTCCCCCTCCCCCCCTCCCCCCTCCCCCCCTCTCCCCCTCATCACCGCAGCGGTCAGGGCGAGTTTCTGAATACCGATCAGGGCGCCGGGGACGGAGTGCCACCCACGGCGACGGAGGCCCCCCCCCCCCCGCCCCCCCCCCCCCCGCCCGTCCGCCGAAGTCTGCCAAAGTCTGTGCGTGAGGCTGTTGGTGAGGCGTTGGTCGGGCGTCCATGTTGATGTCTGTCCGTCATTCCTGTTTGTCTGTCAGTCTGTACTTACGGCAATCGGTCTGTACTTGCACCTGCCTGCGTTCGTTCGTGGGGCAGAGACGTGCTCTTCGCATGTAAGTGAAATGGGGGGGGAGGGGGGGGGGTGTATAGGCATGGGGGGTTACTGGGGAGGGGGGGATAGGGAGGGGGATTAGTCTTTTCCTTTTTTTTTTTTTTTTTTTTTTTTTTTTTTTTTTTGAAGAGTGAAATTATTAGGTCGGCGATGCTTAATTAACATTAAACTTTTTTTTTTTTTTTTTTTGGCCAACTAGAAACGAAAATGGAAGTCTATCTTTCTCTCTCTCTCTCTCTTTCTCTCATTTGCATTTATACGTGTACCTTCTCTGTCTCGCACTATCGTTACACTTATCTCCATCTGCTTCTCTCCTATCTCTCTCTCTTCCCCTTTCACTTGTTCCTTCTCTCCCCTTTCTGTTACTCCCTTCTCCCTCCCCATCTCTCCCCCACCTCCCCCTAAGATATTTCTTCGTCCTCCTCCTCTCTTCTCATTCCCCTTTTCCTTTCTCTCTCTTCTCCTACCCTCTACCGCCTCGTCTCTCTCCCTCTCTCCTTCCCTTTCTCTCCTATCTCCTTTCATTCTCTCTTTCTCTATCTCTCTTTCTTCTCTACCCATCCACCTCCCACTTCTCTACCTTCTCTTTCTATCCTCGTCCTCTCTTTCCCTCTTCTCTTCTTTCTCCCTATCCCCCTTCTCTCTCTCCGTATCTCATTTTCCTTTTGCTCTTTTGTCATTCTCTCCAACTCTTCTAATTCCTCTGCACCTCTCTCTCTCTCTCCTTATCTCATTCTCCTTTCCCCTTTTCCAACCCTTTTTTTTCGTCTTTTTCTACTCTCTCTCCTTCTCTCTCTCACCTTCTCTTCACCTCTTACTTCCTCTATTTCCTTCTCCCTTCTCAATTTCCTATCCTCTCCATTCTCGCCTCTTCCTTCTCTCCCTCCCTCCCTCTCTCACTCCCCTTCACCTTTCTCTTTCCCTCACAACTCTCTCTCCTTCCATCTCACTTTCATATCAGCTATCTTTCTCTGCCTCCTTCTTCTCTCTCCCACACCAGCTCTCTCTGTGTCTCCCTTTCTCTCTCTCCGTCCCACTACCCAACCAGCTCTCTCTCTCTCTCTCTCTTCTCTCTCTCTCTCTCTCTCCTCTCTCTCTCTCTCTCTCCTCTCTCTCTCTCTCTCTCTCTCTATCTATCTATCTATCTCTATCTCTATCCTCTATCTCTCTCTCTTATCTCTATCTCTATCTATTCTTATCTCTCTCTCTATCTCTGTCTCTTCTCTCTGTCTCTCTCTCTCTCTTCTCTCTCTCTCTCTCTCTCTCTCTCTCTCTCTCTCTCTCTCTCTCTCTCTCTCTCTCTCTCTCTCTCTCTCTCTCTCTCTCTCTCTCTCTCTCTCTCTCCTCTCTCTCTCTCTCTCTCTCTCTCTCTCTCTCCCTCTCTCTCTCTCTCTCTCTCTCTCTCTCTGTCTCCCTCCCCTCTCCCTCCTCCCTCCCCTCCCTCCCTCCCTCCCTCCCTCTCCCTCCATCTCAACCCTTCCCTCCCGTCCCTCCCTCCTCCCTCCCTCCCTCCCTCCCTCCCTCCCCCCTCCCCTCCCATCTCCCACCATCACAACCCTTCCCTCCCCCCCTCCTCCGTCCTCGCCTTCTCCCTCCCTCCCTCCCATTCTCATCACAAACCCTTCCTCCTCCTCCCTCCCTCCCTCCCTCCCTCTCGTCCCTCCCTCCAATCTCCCACCATCTTCAACCCTTCCCTCTCTCCCTCCCTCCCTCCCTCCCTCCCTCCCTCCCTCCCCCCTCCCCTCCCATCTCCAGACCATCACAACCCTTCCCTCCCCCCCTCTCTCCTCTCCTTCTCCCTCCCTCCCTCCCATTCTCCCCACCATCACAGCCCTTCCTCCCTCAGACTCCGATCCCAGAAGCTGCACAAGGTCTGGCATGCATCCGGATCTTACATCTCGGGAACGTAAACAAGTCATTCGCAATTTATATTAATTTTCGGTCGTTGCAAATTGATATTTTGCCTTTTTCCCTTTCTTCTCTCTGTCTTCTGTCTCTCTCTCTCTCTCTCCTCTCCTCTCTCTCTCTCTCTACCTCCGTCTCTCTCTCCATCCTCTCTCGAGCTGGCTCTCGCGTCTCCGCGCTCCTTCCCCATTTTTTCTCTCGCGTCTCTCCGTGTCCTCGCCTGTCTCGTCTTTCTCCCTCCCTCCTCTCTCTCCGTTGCTCTCTCCATCTATACACCGTCTCGATCTCTCTCTCTCTCTCGTGTGTGTGTGTGTGGTGTGTGTTGTGTGTGTGTGTGTGTGTGTGTGTTGTGTGGTGTGTGTGTGTGTGTGTCGTCGTCGATGATGATCGTGACTGCATGTGTGTGTGATAGTGTGTTGTAGCATGAATATTACAAGATACATACATACACCCGTATACACACACTTTGGCGCCTAAACCAACAAACTCCTTTAAAAAAAAGTACCTAGACCAAAATCAGAAAGAACCCAAAGACAAACAGAAGAAAACAAAGACAAAGCCAAGAAACCAAAGTATAATTAGACAAAGAAAACCCAAAGATAAAGACAAGAAAAAAACAAGATAAAGACAAGAAAACCAAAGACAAAGCCAAGAAAACCAAAGATAAAGACAAGAAAACCAAAGATAAGAACAAAAAACAAAGCATAAGAAGCAAGAAAACCAAAAGAAAGCCAAGAAAACCAAAGATAAAAGCTAAGAAAACAAGACAAAACCAAGAAAAAACACAAGACAAAGCCAAGAAAACCAAAGACAAAAACTAAGAAACAAAAAGCAACAAAAAAACAAAACAAAACAAAGAACAGATTTAAAGAGGCGGAGAACGAGAGAGAGAGAGAAGCAAATCAACACAACAACGACAAAAAAGAAAAGAATAAAGAGACGGAGAGAGAGAAGAGAAGAGAGAGAGAAGAGAGAGAAGAGAAGAGAGTAACAGCAAATCAACCCAAAACACGAACGCAAATAAAGAGAGTGAAGAACATTACACTACGCCCGACTATAATTCCCGAGAATTCCACTCAAGAGACAACGCTCTCCTTGGGTGGAATTTATCACTTTAACTCCTCTAGCGTGATACTTGCGACGCTTTAAAATCCCGAACGGGCCGACTTGTGGCGGAGTTTGCTGAAATATCGATTCTTAACGTAACGTAAGCATATAAAGTCTGAGTGAGGTTCATTCGGATCTGGAACAAACAAAAATAAAAGCCGTATTTCAAGGAGGAAATCGTTCTGGAAATTCTGAGACCTCGGGCCTGGGCGAAAATTAGTAAGAAAAAAAAAAAAAAAGATTGGAAAGGAGGAGAGAGAAGAGAGATGGGAGAGAGGAGAGAGAGGAGTGAGTGAGGTGAGAGAGAGGAGAGGAGAGAGAGAGAGGAGAGAGAGAGAGAAGAGAGAGAGAGAGAGAGAGAGAGGAGAGAGAGAAGAGAGAGAGAGAGAGAGAGGAGTAGAGAGAGAGAGAGAGAGAAAGGGAAAAAGGGAAAAAGGGAAAAGGGAAGAGAGAGAAGAGAGAGAGAGAGGAGAGAGAGAGAGAGAGAAGAGAGAGAGAGGAGAGAGAGAGGTGATGAGTGAGAGAGAGAGAGAGAGAGAGAGAGAGAGAGAGAGAGAGAGAGAGAGAGGAGAGAGAGAGAGAGAGAGAGAGCTAGAGAGAGAGAGAGAGAGAAGAGAGAGAGGAGAGAGAGAGAAAGAAGAGAGGTAGAGAAGAGAGAGAGAGAGAGAGAGAGAGAGAGAGAGAAGATAGAGAGAGAGAGAGAGAACAGACAGGAGGGAAATGACAGAGAGAGAGAGGTAGAGAGAGTAGAGAGAGAGAGAAAGAAAAAGAAAGAGAGAAGCAGAGAGAANTTTCTCGCATCGACGGCAATCAGGTCACCATCGTCTTCAAACCTTCAGAAGAAATGGAAATGTAAGCACTGACATGTCGTCTGCCCTTTTAGTTCACACGGATGTAGTCGCAGAAAACGCCCATAAGTTTCCTGTTGGTCCCTGACTCGCTGGAAACAACAGAACCGCATAAGAAGAGTTCGACCTCCGCCCTGTTCGAAACCGCGAACGAGACGCTTCGAAAAATAAAAAAATACACTGGTGCTGCTTCAACCTCTTTCTCTCAAATGAATGAGTAAATATAATCAAACTAAAAAAAGGGAATATATTC